AAACAAATGAAATTATTAACGAAAGACGAGATTTTTCTAGGTATTTACGATCATACCAAATATATACAAAATTGACAAATACACAAAGAGGTGTAATAGTAGGTCATTTTTATTTTAGCCTTAGAAATATTTTCTGTCACTCAGTCCACGTCCATGCGTGGGAATTCTATTTAGCTTCATGGTCCTTCGGCTTGTCTTCTGCTTGGGGGGAAACAACAATAATTATACAAATCGTAAACTCAACACAATCAGGAAAAGAAACCCAGACAACCATGTTGTACTTCTGTTGAATACATTTTGTAGCAGTGCGTCACGTCGGAATATTGTCTAAAATAAAATATTCAATCCCAGCCAAATCTAGGTCAAAGGGTCAGATTGCGTGCATATAATTATAGATAGTTAAAACAAAAAGTATTTGAACTTTTGACGGTTGTTCAACATCTATGCACGGTTATCTATGAAAACCAGAAAATTGTTAGTAGTCTGAATTTTTGCACGGTCGAAAATAAAACGGAAACTGACCGGTCAAAAGTGGAAGCGGTCAAGAGGTTTGGGGGGAAATGAGTACAGTACATTATCGCCATAATGAGGCCACAATGAAGCGAAGCGATAATCGCCTAACTTTTTAATGTCGCGACATTGAAGCGATGCTGAAGCCATAACAATGCCATAATGATGCGATGCTGAAGCGAAGGTGAAGCTGCAGTGAAGCCAAAGCTTCCGCGAGAACTGTACTGTATTTGCTCTGTTACCCCTGTAGTGTGTGCATGCACTTAAGTAAATGACAAAGATGTGTCCATTGGTAAATTAAGTCATATTTTAATGATCAAGTATACAATACATGCAACTGGGTGTATGTGCATTTCTATTGAAGATGAACCTCAAAAAAACAAAAGAAATATGGTTCAAGATTCATTAACTAAACGTAATTACTGAACTTGAATCAATCAAAGTAAATCAGCACCCAAGTGCGTTGATTTGACCTCTTAGTGGGTATCATGCTAGCACAAGAAACGTGGAAAGATTATTTACATTCTCAAGCATGAATTGCATGGATTATATTTTAAGGGTTAAAGTACTTGATATAAGAAGTACACCCAAAAAAGCATAATTTGGTCAGTTGGTATAGAACTACAATGTACAGATGAGTTATTCTTTTTAGGTACACATGTACACTGTAGTACTGTAGCATATTATAATTTATGTAAACTGTATTTATTGTACCGTTATGTTGGATTATTAAAATAAATACGTAATTTTGATCATAGACATAACTACCATTTATGTAAGAGCATTGACTAAGAATAGAGCGAATATTTCATTTACCTGTATGTTTATGTCCACATAACAAACAAAATCATTCAGGACATGTCATTTTTGAAATATTGAAATGTCCTTCAGTGATGATGCATTGGGTGTCGTGGGTGATTTAATGACCGAGGTGTCATTTTTGTAGGAGGTTACTAATGAGGAGATGGGTTTTACACACAGTAATATAAAACGTGGGAGAGACATGGAGATGGAACAAAATTTTACTACAGTACTAAACTTACTAAACTTTTTACCATTTCTCACATAAATGATTATTTTGTCGGGACAAAAGCTGATATCTGTCTCAAATATTTGGCCGATAAACATCAAACAGTAATAAACATCACAGTTATCTGTGTGATAAATATTGATTATGAAAAAGGAATAGTTTCTTATGAAATAGAAACCTTACACAAATATACGAGTGAGAATTACAATGAGGAGTTATGAATGCATTATAAAGTTTAACTGGAGGGGAGGGGGGGGGGGCAAACACTGTAGCACTAATCAACACCCACCAAAAATATTCTTTTCTATGGGAATAACAACTACATGTATGCAAAGCTTTATTCAAGAATCCAAAACCAAAAAAAAAAAAAAAAAAAAAAAAAAAAAAGAATCTATAGTTATATGGAAATAACAATTACAGACATTGAAATTTGTTTTGTCTCAAAATCCACATACAGAAAACTAACTCAGAGTCTGCAAAGAATATTCAACAACCACATTAAAGCAGGAGAGTCATCATCTGTACACACGCTGGAATTGAGTCCCAAGCGACGATAACACACGCTAAAATCGCAAAGGCTCATGGGTAGACGATCGTTTGTAAACAATGTTACGCTATGGCCATCTGATGCATGTGCAGATGACAACTCCTCCGCTTTAAGATTGTGACAGGTAGTCCACTTGATATATAACATTATTAGTTTCGAGGAAGACGACCATAAATTGGCTAATTGTTGTACAAGACATGAAGGTAGCAATAACACACCAAGATTTAATTTCTGATTACAGCAATTTTTTTTAGAAATGCATAATACATTGTAATTTTAGCTTAGACGATTTCTGTTGAAGGTTTGTGCTTCAGTTATTATGTAACATTTTTGCTTGATTAGTAGTGCATATTTTTAAATATGTAAATTACAGAGGTGTTTCTATGGTCAAAATAAGTAATATTTTAATAATTTTGGTTTATATGAGCTTCTAAAAGTTCAATTATGATACATTCTGTGTTATTCAGATAATCATTAACTTTAATCCAAGCTATTATTTTCAGTGAGTGGTAATGGTCAGGTAGACATACCAGTCTAGATAAAGTGATAACACCTTAATGATTAAAACCTTACTGACCTGACAAACATGTATAACTCATTTTAAAATGAAACCCAAATATCCACAAGTGTGCTACAGGTATCCATTCAACAAAATTCAAACAAGGGCCCTGGACACAACCACTGTAACCAGGGGCCCTGGACACAACCACTGTAACCAGGGGCCCTGAACACAACCACTGTAACCAGGGGCCCTGGACACAACCACTGTAACCAGGGGCCCTGGACACAACCACTGTAACCAGGGGCCCTGGACACAACCACTGTAACCAGGGCCCTGGACACAACCACTGTAACCAGGGGTGAAAATCATATTTTTTTTTCATCCACATGTTATGTTGAAAATAAAAAGTTAAATTCAGGTTCTGATTGAATATAACCAGGGATCAAAATTAAATAAAGCATGTCCACCTGTCCCAGACATGCAGCATTTAGCTAGAACTCGTAAATATACAAATTACCTATCCCTGTGGATAACAAAATAATGATGGAAAGTTATTGGTAATTTACAAAAAAATTGCTTTCTTGTATGAAATTTTATTTCAATTAATATGTTTTAATTTATCTTGCTACAGACAGATACCAGGTACATCATCACTTGGGACAGGCACTTTTATTCACCAACCGCATGCAGTCCAAATGGTCAGGCAACTTTATTTTTGTAATTTCCACCCCTTATGAGGGAATATGATGGAACACTGTCATTCTCTTTTTACATTACTGTTGATTAGCCCTGTTCTGAATCATGTTGCCATGGTATCCATGAATGATTGGCTGATTTTGTGGGTGATGTTTCATGTCTCAAACTGATTTTGAGCGAGAGAATTGCAAAAAATATTAATTATTATAAAATGATGAATATTTGTAATCAAGAAACATACTTTTAACACAATAAACCATTATTTAAGTACAAGCATACAATTTAATTTAAAATTTCAACATCTCCATCAATTAGTATTTTCAATATGCATATTTCCAACGGTTGAAGGCAGAGTCATAACAAATGCAACCGAGAAATATCCACGAGAAATTTCAATCCTCCTAGGATAATTAATTTGGACATTACGATTTTTCTGATCAGATTATGACACGCTATAAAAGAGATAAAGTTTTTAAGCCATTTAAGACTTTCAAGAGTACCCTGCTATGTCATGAAAATGTACTTAAATTCACAGGAATTTAATTTAATGGATTAAACAGCTGAATTAATAATTAAAAATAATTAAATAGTCTTAACAGTTCATGTACAACATTTGTTCAATCATTACTAAATGTATTTTCTGCAACCATAGAAGCCAAATTAAAATCTGTTATGCAAAGTACAATGACATAATTTTATACTTAATTTAATTTATTACAATTAATATAATTATATTTTAATTGTACAGTGATATATGCAATAGACTATTTGGGGCTAATGATATCAACCAAATGTTTGGCATTCCCATTATGTTATTGCACATAGTCTGTGCAATATGTCCAAATTATCATGTGACCTACATTTACAGTTACATGTAAAGACTCTAGGAATACATGTAGCTCAGACTTCCAGCATAAATTACTAAAGACAATCAAAACATTGAAATGAACCTGCCTTGGAAGTATGTAAATTCCACAGGCCGGAGTATGTTTTTTGAAGAAATGATTTTTGCCAACAAATCAGTAGAAACTGCAACTTTAAATTTTGTTTATGTATTCTCCCAAGTATAATTTTAGACTGTGTTGATATAGCCTTTTTTTTCTTGGTAATTGAGAAATAACAATTTAACACTTACCGGGGGTAAGTCATATTTTTATTAGAATTGTTGATGGGTATTTAACATTAGTACATGAATCTGATTCAAAATTGTGTGTTGGTTTCATTTTGCGTATTCACAAATATTGCAATGAACTATGGTCGCAGCGATCGCAGCTACTAATATGCTGTATCACAATGTATACAAACCAAATGGGAGGGGCCAGCTTTTGACACGCAGGGACATGGGGCCCGGGGAGGGAGCTCATTACCGCATAATACAACGTAATAGCTTTCCAGGTATCTTAAGTGTGCGGTTATATGAAGCCTCTGTTTACACTGCTGCTCGGTAAGAAAAAAAAAATACCGCTGTAGAGACTCATGATGGCGGAGACGAGTTCATTGACAATGATTTAATATTATCATGAATCAACATTATCAAACAAACCTTTGAATGTGGCGTTATTTTGTTGCTGTTATTAGGCGGTCAAGTCTTTGCAGTACGATTTTAATTATAAACACCTTCGAATATTGATCTCTATTATAAGCGGATACATTACTGATCGCCCTAAATGAGGCACAGATCAGCGGTATTTTGTTAATATAGTAAAGATATCTACCTTTGGAGCGACGTCATCTTCTTTCGTCGTTTCAGTTGTCACAGCTTGTGTGATGTCTTCGGCATTATCGGCAGTTTCACCTCCTCTGTGCCTAAGTTCAGTGTCCATAATACAAAACGTACAGCAGACTACACCAAAACACAAGCGATCCGCAGTACATTCACCGCTACCAACCCAAAAAATCCAAAAACTGACCCGGTCAGATATGATACAGCAGATCTATTGAGTTAGCTGAGAATTCTATCAAAATAGACTCCCTAGCTTACCCTATAAATTTACAAGGTCAGTAAATCCTAGAGGTCAAACGCCGTGTTTTGGTCGATAAAAAGATTTTTAAAACATGAATTCACCCCAAAGTTGGAATATATTTATATTTCCTGTTTATAACTGTACTAAATATCATAGTTGCTACGGGTTATATTGCAAACACAATCACTCCAGTCTCACAACGCTAGGAACACCAGGTTATTAAAATGTGACGTCAGTTTAGCATTATTCTCACGACATACGTTGATGGCACTGTTCACAGATGAAAGGACGCTATTTTTGTAGGAAAATTCGAAACAGAATTTGCTAAAATTAACTATGTAACTATGTTACATTCTTGGCCAATAGTGTGGTTAAAAAGACTCGGATCACCATTTTAGGGAAATACACTTTTGCTGTTGAAAATGGTATTAATGTGCTACTAGTCATTTTCAACCTGAGCCCAAAACTTTGGGTTCTAGACCCGGGCGGGACCCGGCCCGGCGGGTACCGTACATCCCGGCCGTACATAGAGCATGGAGCTAAAGATTGTTTTAGCCCCATGCAATAGAACAAACAAACAACGAAATAACAGTAATCGAAATTTTCGCTGAAATATATAAAATATTTAGACCGACTCGGGCCCTCTAAAAATATATATATATATATGTAGTTGTTGTACTTAAACAATTGCAGATTATTCATTATTTTTGACACACACCTCACATGATTCAGAAGTTAAGAAAAGCTATCAAATAATACCTGACTCATGTTTTTACCCGAATACGATGACTGGTTGTAATTTTTCTCAAATTTGTATAATGTTTAACGTTAAAATATGAAGGCCGGTAAATTACACAACGATGTCAGTATTGTGATGGTATGAAATATGCGAGGCTATAGGTTGAGGATAATGCCAGGGGCGGATACAGAATTTTTGTATGGGGGGATCCAAACTTTAAAATCGCCAGACTGTTTATATTATACAAACAAAATTGAATACAAGAACCCACCCCCTAGATCCGCCACTGGATACCATACAATTATGCGATAGGATGATCGATGCGATTGTCGCTTGAAATAATTACTAGTATCATGGTCGAAGCCGCGTTTATCCGATTTGAGATCATGGAAGGCAAAAGTGGGGCTTGCAGTGTTTTTTTAGTTCAAGGATGCCGAGTTGTCGCAATACAATAACATGTATTGGGGAAGAAGGTGACGATTTTTTTTAGCAACGGACATATGGGGATGGAGTAAAGTAGGATAAGTATCATAGATTTCTCCAGAACATTTCGACGTATGGGAGATGATGAAGTATTATGTATTATATACTACAGGGAATTCCGGAATGTAGTGGCGGAAGCGTGAAATTATAAAAAAAAAACTTAGGCAAATTATTGTTGTTTCTTATAAGTGTGATTTCAACGTCAAAGACGGGTCAATTTTCACATCTATGTACGTAACCCCACAATAGTCTCATCACAGTCTCTCTTCCATCGGCGTCTCTTGCATAATATTTGATTTAAGGCAATGTCCATCATTATATACAATGAACAACAAACTAGTTATTTACTACTGTACCTGTATTAGTGTACCCAGAATGATCATCAACGGACGTTCCACTAAACAACACGAACTGTATACACGTATGGACAAAGTATGTGTTCATAGATCTGTAATAGCTAAACAGGTTACATAAAACAGTGAACAACAACAAACTTTGTCTCTCCCTGCATGTCATTTAAGCTCAAACATAAACAACATGCCAATGTTCATAGTTACGGAAACAAAAAAATCAGTCTTCAAATACATTCAACATTTTTCATTAGGCTCATTTATTAATTGATTCAGAATTGAAAACGAAGGTATGTTCTTTACATTATGTGTTTCTAAATTCATGTTGAAAGGTGGACGAAAGACATTTTTAAATTTACTAGAAAATATCCATTGCTTTTCTTTTTATTATTTTCTTTATTTTTCTTGAATAGTACTTTGAACAAGAATTTTCGAAACATTGCACTCTTATAAAACAATCACGTTACAAAAAATGTAACTATTAAAATGTAAACTTTGAAAATCTGTCTATTTTGGGATTTTTTTTTAATTTGGAAGTATGCAAGTGTTGTCTTGGCCAGACGTTATTTCAAATAATAATAAGACCATCAAAAATGAAAATAATACAGTAGATAATATGATACAATATATAGTAGATAATATTCTGTCAATATATTAACTATGCTGTAAGATGATTATTCACATCATCTTTGTCTTCTTTCATAAATTATAAAAATTGAAAACAAATGCTAACATTTAGAATTGACATACGTAAGCGCATGTGAAATATCGTTCATCAATCGAAAATTTCGATGTAACTTCTTACAGTAGCATAGCAGATCACAATCGCGCAGGACATTCCAGTCAATGTAACTACTTGCCTTGTATGTTTACCAACTTTCCGCGTAACTATATCAATTTTTGCACGCTACCTCGCAGTCTTTCAACGTAAATCCTTCCATTTAACATTTTCCACTGTAGCAATACAGGCTTTTCACGTAACCTCATCAATTTTGCCCGAACTTTGCAGACTTTCTACGCAAAGTAACATGGAACTTTGCGGAGTTTTCACGTAAAGTTACTAATTTTGCACGCAAATATGCAGATTTGTTACATTTGTAACTTTTCCAATATGCGCGAAGGTTTGCAGACTTACCACGTAACTATAACACCTTTCACGCAATTCGCAGACTTTCCGCATAACTTTTATCATTTTGCAGTCCCGGCATTAGCAGTAACATGGAGGTGATTTTACCAACATTGTAGGAATTCCACGGAACTTTCCACGTACCGTAACCAATACTGCAGAAAGCTTTGTAAACATCCCATGTTTGTGCGCAACTTTGTTGACGTTTCATGCAATTTTGTAGACTTGCCAACATGATTGCCCGAGGATTTCCAGACTTTCCATGTATCTTTACCAACTGTGCACGCAACTTTTAAGAATTCCATATATTATTTTCCACGTAATTTTATCAGATTTGCACGCAATTTTGCAGACATTCCATGCAACTTTATTAATTTTGCACTCACCCATACTTACGTTCCACCTAACTTTACAATATTTGTACACAATTTTACTGATTTGCCACGTAGCCTGAGTATACTTTCCACAAAGGTTTAACAACTTTTCACGTATTTTTAGCAACTTTATACATAATGAGTGTCACTTACCAAATTGCTCAGAGGGGTGGTCATTCATTTTCCCCAGTGAGCCTTCTTATCCAATGAACAACAAAGATAAATGTCAACACTCTGGAAATGAGGGCGCACAACAATTGACAAAAGTATTTTAAAAGCGAAGTTGCAGACTATTGACAAATAATACAGACTTTCTAATTAAATTTACACCACTTGCCACGCAATTTTGACTTTTTTCACGCACATTTCAAGACTTTCTACATAGCACAGCAGATTTTAAATGTAACCTTAGGAACTTTTTACATATTTACAACAATATTTTCCACATACTTGCAGACACAGTAACCACGTAGTAAGTAATACAGATAATCCATGAAACATCAATTATGCACGAAACTTTGCTGACTTTCAGGTAACCGTACCATTTTCCCCATGGAATATAACAAACTTTCCATGCAACTTTGCAGACTTTCCAGTAATCATTTTACTAACTATACATGTAACTTTACTTTGCAGCCTTCCCATACAACTTGCTCAACCTTATGTATATTCCGCACAACTTTTAACATAAATACACCATATTCGCCCAAAATAAGATATTGAAGATATAGTCACAAAATGAATAAATCTGACAGAGAACCAGCCAAGGTACCTACACACCAAGTATCAAAGAAATTGAGCTGGTAGTTTTCAAAAATAAGTCGAACATAGCATTTTTTTTACCAAAAATAAAGAGTTAAATATATTGTCATGAAATGAACATATCTTGACAGGCAACAACAAGTCGAAAATATCACTTTTTACCACGAATGACAAAAATATTCACCAACATTAGAGAATTAAAGTTATCTACATGAAATGAACAAATCTGAGAGAGGTCTACCCAAGGTACATATACACCAAGTATGTAACCAATCATGCTTGTTTTTTTCAAGAAGAAGTCAAAAAAGTAAAAAATTGACACCGACTGACATCTGATTATCATCAGCATGTTTTCATTTAGTGAACTTATTTCTATGTCTAACAAATTTAACCAAATTGTCATGTATATATTGAAAACTATGCATGCTAGTCACACTAAAACTTGGGCAAGCTTGTATACCAATAGACATATCAAAACTATGACTGGCCATAAATTACTCGAGTTCCTGTAAACACAAAAAGAGTTCATAATGGCGACAATAACAATGACAAACATAACACCTATACTATTCCTTTTCTTTCATCTAATGATATCGATAAAACAAAAATCAATAATTTCATAAATACATGTTTTATTCTAATGATTTATTCAATTTAATTTAATGATCAAGAACTTTAGAAATTGATACAAAGTTTGTAATAGATCGTAAAGCAACACTATAAAAATAAATAAAGCTTCGTTAACATGATTACATTATGTTAATAAAATCTTCTTTTAAAATTAACTGAAGATATTGATAAAAGCTACAACTGGATCAAAATATATAAAAGATATGTAAAAAGTGAGAAAATGTAAAAATTCCTCAGAATGGATTACTGTCAAGGTATGTAAGAAAAAGTTGTTCATACAAGCCTGGTGGGTAGAATTGTGAACCACCTTAAGTAGTTAAATAATAACAGTCAAAAATAACCTGCAATTAAACCAAATTCCTGACACAATATGTATTGTTGTGCATTGACAAAATCGCAGTGCTCTCTACGACAGCCAATGTCATTAAATAAACTTTTTTCTCGAAAAGTGGTTGAACAAAAACAATATTTTATTAATTTATCAATTGAATTACATTTCCAGAAAGTAATTCGAAAAGTCATCGTTTACTTATTTCAAGAGTGGCACAAGTAACTGGCCTTTGCCAGTAGATTTTATAAAAAAAGTTTTATGTCATTATTAATTTTGTGTATGTATTAGCTAAAGCACGGGAATGCATTTTTTAAGTTTTGAAGCAGTATTTATTTATTTTAACCTAAAAAGTTCAATTGATTTTCTTGACATAATAAATAAATAAATAAAAAAAAACTTGGAAAACTCATAGTTGAAAGTCTGTTACAGTCAGTATGGTGTTTATTCTAATGCATTAATGTGTTTGGAAGGCAAAACTTGTAACCTTTCTGAGTAGTCATAGATTTGGATTACCGGTACAATCAGCCATCAAAATAAGATCTCTACCTGATATAATTTTTTTTTTAATCAGAAGATGTGTTGATGAACTGATGAAGTCAAATAAAAAACATGATTCTCTAAACAAACAGGACTGCATCAGGAAGTTGTCATTACAATCAAAATTGCTAACATTATTAAAATCATTGATTTTTTTTAATAAAAGAAAGCTACTCAATTGTAAATATTATTTTTTTATTTTTACATATGTGACAATTCATATCACAAGGACTGGAAGAATGAAATTAAAAATATGGAGTTATTGTACTTAAAAATCTATGTACAAAATGGATTAAATATAGCATAATCTGTCTGTTTTAGAGCATTTTGCCATTGTTTCCTATGACAAGGATATATTTCAATATCTCAAAATTTTAGTCAGTGATAGAGTAAAAAAAATTATATACAATACCTAACAATGTACTTGTTCATTTCTAGAAGTATTCAAAAAATGACAGTTTAGTGGGTTTTTAATGAGCCGCTGCTAAATTTTATGCTTGTTAACATAAACAGATTGACAGTGAATCAAGAAAGTTCACATTCAGGTGATTAATTGTAGACAGATTTTGACACAAAATACTGTCACTGCCATATGCACTAAAATACGCGTAAATGTTGAAAACACACACGCAAGTAGTAATCTACCTCAAAGGTGTCTATGAGCATGTAAACATTTGTAATTGTGAGAACACTCCCTGTGTATAGTTCTGGCAACAGTGTCACTTTAACTATATCGGTAGTCGAGTAATTAATTATCTGAGTATACCTCCATTCTGACTATAATAATGAACCGCAAACAAAAGTGCTCATAACATCACTAATTAGTGTACAGAGGTTTTTCTACAATTTACAACTATGAATATCATAGTACTGATTGTATGTTAAATTTATAACTATTACTTCTGCATTGGTCAAGATTTCCTTCAAAACCTAGTTGGATTAGAGGGTCTAAAAAAAAAAAAGTAGAAGTCACTCTCATGTTTGTCTTTCAATCTTTTCAACAGCTCTCAGCAATGTTTCATCATCAATGTCATCATCAAAACTTGCTTCTTCATCTTTCATTTTTTCCTCCTCTTCTTCCATCTTTTGAAGAGCCTCTAAAAGTTCCTCATCATCCAGGTCGTCATAGAAACCAGGCAAGAATTCAGCGGGGACAGCTTTATCAAGCGTTTTAAAGTTCTTTGCCTTACAGTCTGGGTCATGACATTTCTGATAAAACACGCCTTGATGCAGGTCCACAATCATCCTACACATTTGAAAAATAACAATTCATTGTTAATGACACAGTCCCCGTCCAAAAATTTGGGATCTGACATATCAATTTGATGCTGATGAAGTCATTGAGATTAGATTGAAATTAATAGGAGATGGATTTGTAAAAAAATATGATTTAGTGCTTTTACACGAGAATTGATGTTCATGTTGATGTATCTATTGGTATACTGTCTTTGTACATAATTTAAACAGAAATATTCATTGCATTCATGGAAAAGTAGGCATGGGTATCATGAAAAACAAAATAGCTACCAGTCAGCCATATTAGTTTGAATCACAGAAAAAATATGACATGCAACTATAACCCTAATATGTATGATCATCATACCAACTTTGATTCAAATTGGCCTAGTCATCTCTGAGAAACAGCTCCGGACATGTAAAAATGACGACTTAGCGCTATTACATGAAATTTGGGCATCAATCCGCCATATTGAATCAAATCACAAAAATTATGTTGGTGCAGATGTATCTTTTGGTATACTGTCTTTGTACAAAATTTAAACAAAAACATTCATTGCATTCAAGATAAAGTAGCATGGGTACCATGAAAAACAAGATAGCCACCAGTTGGCCATATTTGTTTGAATCAAGAAAAAAAAATGACGTGCACCTACAACCCAATATGTATGATCATCATACCAACTTTGATCCAAATCGGCCCAGTCATCTCTGAGAAACTTCTGCGGACACGTTTAGGTATCAGAAATAACAAATTTTACATCCAAAATGGCCGCCAGCTGGCCATTTTTGCTCCGATAATAAAGTAAATTGACGTGCATATGTAAGACATTATGTATTGTCTTCATGTAAAGTTTGAATGGGTGTCCGAGATATAGCTGCGGATGTACAAACGAAACGAACGCAAATTAATAGTCCCTCAATAGTGGAGAAAATGCTAAAATATTAGGGATGTACAAACCCATTTGTTTACCTAATCATACTTACCAGAATACCTGTGGAAATACTAAATTTCATTTATTACTTGTTAGGCTTAATTACAGATTACAGCCCCAAACGGAAACCACTAGAGAATATACCCGGGTCCAAAAGAAACACCCTAGGGTAGCATTCTGAGAAAAAGGCCTTGCCTAAGGGGTCACCCCCAGGGCGATCACGCACCCAAGGCCTGTCAGTTTCAATTCCCACAAATATTCCGCTGCGCAACAAAAAGACCCCCTGGGCATATGCCTGGATATGACCTCAACTTCTTTATTTTGTCAAAAGTGGGGGGTGGGCGTTTGCCCAGGCATGGGCTTTTACCCTGATAAATATGATAATAAAACAAATAAGGTACATGTATACCCCATTAGCTGAACAGATAAATACATATTTTTGGTCAATTGAGGTTTTTTTTGTTGTATATATGGAAAATGAACTAGTAATTTCATATAACTAGTAGTGTCTCAAACCTATATTTATACCGGTAATCATATTTGCTCGTTTGAGGCAAGGAGCAGGAAGGCTATGGCTAACTTTTTATCAGCTATGACTAGTAGCAAAAGGTTGATAGCAACTATAATAAGTCCAAATGTATTGAGATTGAGCAGAACTTTGTATAGTTGGTCAGAGAATGTTTTTAAACATTGTAGTACCTGTTACTTACTAATTCCCACTTTTGATGTTGTACTTTTGCGTATATTTCATTTTTGAATTGTATGAGCTGGCTCTTTAATTAAAGAATAATTAAGAATTTCCTGGGAATTACTATCCAACTTCAACTCACATTATGTTATTACTTTTGTGTTGTCTGCCAATATTCGCACACCATCTGTTCTTTACTATATCATAAATTATAAGCTGTCCTTGTGAGAAGTACGTCCACCGTCGGATTTCACCATTTCACTCCACCAGTGTTTATCTGTGTTTTAATGTAGTCGTCTAGTTCTGGATACGGGGAATGCTGAAACCCTTCAACAATAGTGTCATCTATTGGTCAAGAGATGAAATTGTTAGTAATAGTTCAAATATTAAAAATAAATATTTAAAAATTTTAAGTACATTTCCACCGTCGGTAGTGTAATAATAATAACTTTATTGCATCCTTAGAAATACAATGTTTCTATCAGTTAATAGCAATAAAAAATAGTTGTGATACATGTAACTACTACTACAAAAAGAAAGTTAGTTGTTAAAAGGATATATAAAAGCAAGTGCTACATATCAAATGGCATTTTCATTTCTTGATTGAAATGCGTTATGAATATAGTTGCCAATCTTTTTTATTATTACATCATCTTTTGAAGTCATAAAGAAAATAAATTTCTGGAGATCATCCTGTGTTTCTTGTGGAAATGTAATGTCTTGTATGATTTGTTGGCGTATTACTTTATATTGTGGACATTTCATAACAAAGTGCAGTTCATCTTCTATTTTATTCTGTGAACATTGTTTGCAAATTCTATTTTCAGTAGGTATATTTGGTTGCATATGCCTCTCTTTTTCTATTGCTAAATTGTGATTACTAGTTTGAAATTTTGCCATTGAAATTCTTTGTTTCAAATTCAACACATCCAAATATTTTTCAAAATTATAAGAGTCTTTGAATTTTTCATAAGTTCTCAGTTTTGTTTTTTCAGTTATATTTTTTCTCCAGAAATTTATGTATGTATTTGCTGTATATGTTTTGTTAACAAATCATTCTGTTGTTCTGGTGAAAAGTTCATGTTGTTCATCATTTTTTGTATTGAAGAGTACCATTATAAATTGGATTTCTTTTGTTCAAGGTATGCTTGTTTTGTGATATTATTGTCAGAGACAGGTAATTTAATTTAATTCAATTGTGTTTTTTCTGTTATTGTTTTGTCCCATTTGTTGTAATCTTGAATTTCATGGCCCCAGATTTCAGATCCATTCAGTAATATTGGTTGAATACACCTTTTAAAAAGATGGATGAAAGTTCTACAATTTGTTTCTGGTGGTAGAAACTGTTTCAATGCATACATTGTGATCTGGTCCTCAGAAACTGAACTCCAACAGAACTTCTAAAAAAGATTTTCTTGGTATTTATTGTACAACTTAAATTCAAATGACTAATTCCTAAGTCGTAAAATTTAGAACTGGTCACGCTGGGTCCCTCAGGTTGCTGTTTTTTTATGGCACCTGGAGTATTCAATTGGTAAATCCCATGAGCATATTCAATATTCTATTTTGAGTGGTGGTAAGGGAAGTAAGACTGAGCATAGTAAAATTGACAGTAATGGTCCAAATTGCTCTAATAGAATTGTTTTCATTTCATCAATAACATTTGATGTATTAAACTTACCTTTTGGTTTTAGTGGGGATGTACCAGATTCAGTATTTGATACATCAAGTTTTGTTTGTCTTCTTGAAGCATCGCCATGGCAATCTAATATTTGCAATGTACTGGTGTACCTAGTAAGAGACGCTACAAGTGTTCTTTAAACATACATATATTGTATCTCATTAAAATAAACATAAACACCATATTCACTCTTTCCCTTTCCCTCTTTTTCATGACACACAGATTTGTTGTGAAGTAACTGACTGTGCTAATTCACTGACACACTATTGAGGCAACAGAAAATTGTAAATTGATATAGTGATCTTGAAATACGAATATAGTTACATAATGTGTAATTTGGTAAAATGAAATTCATAAAATAAGAGTAAAACCGAAGGGAATCTGAGGCTATAATATTTTTGTTTGTGCCTCAAGTTACCTAATATCAAGCCTCATACAATCTCCCAGCAGTCAACAAACAGATTAAACATTGATTTGGCAGATTTTGACTAAGAGTACCTGTGGATTCAGTCCTGTTAGAGGACACACTGTTAAAACACAAGTAACACTAAAGATTGACTGCACCTATCAGAAGAGACTAACTATATAAACTTACTTCACATTACTGATAATAGAATCAGTAAACATCTGATATTCTAGTGGTAAGCCTTTCTCTTGTTTGGCTTTATATACATTCTGTTTGGATAATTCAAAGATATTTGTCTTGCCTTTCTTTGCACACTTGTAAAGACGAAAATTTCTGTTTTTAGTATAAACACCTGAAATGAAACCATGGCGATGAATTTAGCTGAAGACAAGTCAATTGTAAATTTCCTTATTAGAAAGACCTACATGTGTCTTTACTTGATATGTTTGACATCTTCTGATATTTGTCAGAGAATGTCTTAAATATGCAAAAAAAACAAAAGCAGAATCACATATTTTGACCATCTGAGGACAAACTACATACAGGCATTTTATGCTGACATCATTATTTTTTAAACTGCAGCTCTGTGTGTATGAAAGGAAAGATGGTAACCATATTTCAGTAAGCCTATTGTAAGTGATGTATCTGGTGGAAGTGTTTCTTGAATTAATATTTTTGAAAATCAGAATGAAAAGAGTACATTTAGTTAACTAGTTATGCAAGATTTAGAGCAATTCTTATCTAAAAGATGAGAAGGCATGTTTCAAACAGTCTCCCAAATGACTTAATTACAGGTTTATTCAAATCAATGTGTTAATATAAACTGTACATGTAAATTCAATATATCCTTCCAATGCAGACAGCTATGTTGGACAGTCGATTCGTCTAAAATCACAATCGTTCTAGGTTGATTTTCCTCTATTCCTGTTCACCATTTCTACCAGTAATAAGTCAGAATGTTCAAATATTCTTGTTTAATGCAATGGCAGAAGAGTTCTAAAAGCATGGATTGTTACGTCACAATGTACATATATTTTGCAGTGTATAGCAGGTTGTCAGTGTAGTAAACACGGTTGGCCAAACCTGAGATAGAAACCGACAAAACCTTGCACACAAACGTAAATCGAAATTGGGAACTATGCACAAGATCATATGGCTGATCAAAGGCAATGAGACGAATGTGTATTGGGAATCATGATGCATCAGACTTGCATCATGATTCGTAGAGCATTCACTAACGAATGTGACTTTGGGGGAACCTTGGTTAAACGTCCACAGGTGCTTATGTTCGACCGAATCTTGTTGACACTAAAATAGCACATTAAATTGCAATAATGCCATTATGACAGAAAGATAGCCACACAGCCCTGTCACATTGTTCCAAACTGAAATATGGTCTCTGTAGCAACGTGCAACTATGGTTGAAATACCTCCACTGTTATCAATGCCATTTCAATTAAATAAGTGACAAAATGACAAAAATATTCACCAAAAATAGAGAATTGAAGATATCGTTACAAAATGAACAAATCTGACATAGGTCTACCCAAAGTACCTACATACCAAGTATCAAAGCAATTGAACTTAAAAATACAATTGTTGATGGATGATGAGCGACAATATGAACAGCTTCGCTTTGTCATCTACGATGATAGCGGTTAGCAGAATTTAAAATTTGCAATACTGATCATGTTACTGCACATATATGCAACGTATTATGGGGAATGAACTCCCATATGAAAAAATATCATCACCCTGGAAACTGACCAAATTATATGTCAATTTTTGGAAATGTTCTAACAATATTAGGATTCATATCAATGATAATAAATGACTTTTCATCCCATGTCACTAAGCAACATTTTGAGATCTGAAAAAATTATCTCACCATGGAAACCAGTGTAAAACTCTTGTATCTTGAAAACTTGTTCGATGACCTCCCCCCTCTTTTTTCAATTTCAGCATTTTCATAGTACGAACCCATAATAATGAATGTATGAAAAAAAAGATATTATACAGTCTTTTTGGCTTGAGGGGACTTTGAAGCCGTATTTTACGCATATCTTCAAAAAAAATAACATGCAACTTATACATAGCTACATGTACATGTATATCAAAAAATGTCACTATTTTCCAAAGATTAACAACAAGATTTCCCCAACTATAATATGTCAAAATGAAAATATAATTTACCTTCGTCAACGAACAGAACTCTCTCACTACTTCTGTTGAACACAAACAACTGATTCAGATCTAAATCTGAAAGTAAGTGATCTGTTCTTTGTTTCTTTGGCTTTGATTCTTCAGCAGACTGGTCTTTGGATTCACTCTGATTATTAGTGGCTTTATTCCTTGCAATGTTTGCTATAGCTGTACACACGTGATGTACAAAATTACCTACAAAGACAATAAATCAGTTAGCTTTACAATCCAATTAACAGCTAAAATTTACCATGGCAGGCAATTTTCAACACAAGACTTTCTAGCCGAATATTTCTGCACTTTTTTCTAATATTCTTCAATATTTCTGGTAATGAACCCTAATTTTGGAGTCAACAGATTTTTTTAGTTTTTACTCAAAAATGTTGGCTATTTTTGTCCTAATCTTCTGAAGGAAAGTGTAGACTAAAAACAAGACTATTTTATGAATTCTTGATGAAAAGAGGAAACTACAGGTGAAAAGGTTAACTTAATGTAGAAATAATAATGTAGAAATACATCAGATGAGGTCAATCCACATGCCTGTAGATTAGTTGGTCCACTTTCATTTTTCAATTCCAAAAATAATTATTTTTATCACACTGGCATCTTCTTGCATAAGCCAACCTCATCAAGTTTCCCCCAAAACAGAAATACAAATAAATATTATCAAAGCATTTTCCATGTACCCGGTACTGTAAAATCTGTATTAGAAGCTACAGCTTCCAATACAATAGTACCGGTACATTGCAACATAGGGGAGGCGGCTTCTATTAGAGCATCTACACATATAGTAAACTTTTGTTCTCAATTGTATGAAAAAAAATGGTGTAGTTTTTATTTGGGATGTGTCTTCTAATAAAGTATTTTATGACTTTAAACAATCTATGTGAAAGTTTAGGTCAATATCCATTGAATAGTACACTATACCTTTTTAAAATGAACCTATTGGAGGAGGGGCCCCAAAACAGATCACTATAACAGGTGTTTTTAGAAGTATTTTTGTAAGACAATTGCAGCCATAGAGTGTCACTGCTGACTAAAACATATCAAAGAAAACTCTGGTGTTCTAGAGGCAGTGCATTCACATGAAATAGGAATTATTTAAGAGCTAAGCCAAGAAGCCAGTCGGCTGATAGAGCTTTATGGTATGACATGCACAATGTGAATTTGAATATAATAAATAATCTAATTACTGTGAAATACTTTGCTTGGAATTAATTTTCGCTATAAAATATACCTTTTTCCTATATTTTATATTCAACTTGTCAAAAATCAGTGAAAATAAATTCCATACAAAACAACTGAAAAGTCTTTGCAGCGAAAATTAATTCAGCTAAAATAAAGTATTAAATTACTAGGTAATTAATAAGCATGGATTTCAACACAAAAATAAAGTCAGTGGATAATCACAAAAAAATGTCTCAAGTTGAGTGGAGATACAATGTAGTTACATGTAACAGTTAAAAGTTGCCTAATTTATTGGGCAATTAGTAATTATTATGCATGAATTTAAATTGAAAACTAAGTTGGTATGTTGATTATCCCATCCACTTACGTACTAAATACGTATTTAAATCTAATGAGTGGTTCTTGAAACAGCTAAATATTCACTAATTTATGTAAATTAGGTAAACAATATGCATGAATTTAACCTTACACTTATACATGTATATACAGTCTTTTCTTTCTTTCATAATTTTTTAATAATGGTAAGTTAAGCTTGGAACCTACTATACATGACAGGGCTGTCTGCCATCTTCCTAATCATAATGGCTAAGTAATGCCTATCCAGTGACAACTTAATGAATGTTCTCCAAATTCAAATCTCTAATTTAACGTATCTTTAATGGTGGCTTTACAGTAGTTATCTTTTACCTGTATGATTATTGTCTCTGAAAGCAGAGCCTGGTAACCTGAATATCAGATGTCTGCTAAATTTAATGTTACTTGTTGCATCCAAATCAATGACGTTTCTTCGACTGCACTGAATTCCATATAATTCATGAAGAAAATGACAAACACACTGCAATAAAAGTGAGTCATATATGTTAATTCCTTACTTCATGTGTTGACTTTTCAATAGTACAAATGTACATGTAAAAATGTCTGCAATACTGTTTGGTCGCTGTGCAGAGTGTGTTCAGCGCTGTAAACATTGCTTAGTTGTCACAACACACAATTTTGATTAGTGTTTAAATTCACTATCATCCCTGTAACTGGCTTTCAGTATCCCTTCCTATGCAAGTGGATATTTGTGAAGTGAAAACTATTGGTATACGAAAATCTCAAAATAGTAGTAAGTAGCCCTACAATATGGTATCTAGTGAATGCAAAGATAAAAGAACACACTGTTAAGTAAATATTCTTTCATCTTCCAAAAAGACTGACAATTGTATTGTTCACAAATTAGTGAGATGCATCATGGGAAGTACTGTAATTTTTTATTTTTACCTTCAATTTTAGCATAATAATAGATCACTTTCCCGGAAGTCAAAGATACGCAGTTTCTTATTATAGACTAGTACATAAATGTAAACCACAGTCCCAGATAGAGGGACTGTGTGTAAACACAGGTGATATTGTGTTTTTGGGTGTACCACAGTCCCTCTATCACGGACTGTGGGTGTACCAATGAACATCACAAAATTAAAATTCCCTTTTATCGAATATCGACAAACTGACATGTTTGTATTTTCTGCCATGACAAAGCAGGTGTATTGATGCACCCCATTCTCACTACTTCAGGGAAAGTGGTCTGTGTAGTGTGTGATTCCTCCACATTATATGTACACTATACAGGGCTACTAAAGTACTGCACCTGTGTTTCTAGACTGTTGACAGTCCTCAAGCCTAATTTGTTAGTATACTAAATCAGCAAACACTGAAGAAGTGCCGCAGGCATTTCAGCGAAGGCCACAGGCCTGAGGATGTTCACATCTGTATTGTTTCCCATGATACATGTATTAATTATGCATGCAAGCGAATAACGTGACTTGGTTTTAATAATAGGCAGAGCATGGCTTGGTTCAACCACAATCCCTCAACAAACGGTTGAGAAACGCTATTGTCTAAAGGTGTGAAATACACTTTATGTTGATAGATGCTGGTTATGCTATGAATTGTGAGTAAAATTGACATACCACCCTCAAATAGCTGTGCTGTTGTCAGTCTTTTTTTCTCGTTGCAATAGTAAAATACTCAAATTTTCTGATATATTATATTATTAAAGTTTCCATTATTCTGACATTACCACTTGAAATCACAAGAATCTCAGATAAAAGGGAGAAAAAATGTTAAGTCTGAACTAGGTGCTATTCTTAAGATAATTGATTTTCTTCCGAGTGTGTTTTTTTCTATCAACGTCTGATTGGCGTTATGCTCTGGTGGCTATATGGCCATCGATGTATTCTAAACCTTTTTTTGTAATGTCTATGTTATACAGAATGCCCAGTGTACCAATATTATAAATTTCAATACATAATTATTAAAAGAATGTAGCCAATTGTTATTTCCATCATATTTTTGCGGTGAAAAATACAAAATGGCGTCCCATATCATTACAAGGTTGTTTTTTTTTTATGATCGGCAAAAAAGCTCGTTTTTTTTTTCAGCACCTTTCACGAAATGTAACCAAATCAGAGCAAAGTAGGACATGTATATTTCATATTTATGCATTTGTGTACAATTTTGTTGAAATTGAAACGAAAGATCAAAATATCCCGAATTCTTTTCAACATGCTCATTGAGAGACAGTGCTATTTCAAAATGTTGACGCTTGACAAAATGACCGGGTTATGGTGCGAAGCACAACATTTTTAAACCTTTACAGATATGTTGAATGGTACTCAAAAAATTTTTTTTTACATTTTTGCATCTATAGAACAAACATAAACTAACAATATTAAATTGCATACTATTCCATCTAAATTCTTATTCAAAACTTGGGTTGTTTTCAAAGTTAAAATTTGCTATAAGGTGTGAATGTGTGAAGCCATAAAATCATGTGTCTGCTTTTTTCTAATAAATAAGCAGTAGTCCCATTCGACACCAACATCATCAAAATTGACGAAATCTTCATACATTTCCACGAATTTGTTTGGTTATATTCTTGATTATATCGAACGATCAAGAGTCACTTTGCATTGATTAAAACAATAACATTGGGTAGGAGTATAGGCATACTGTATTTGCGCAAAGCATCCCGGGTTAAATGACATCATGATATATGCTAATTTTATGTTGAGAATAAAATTATTTGTAAGACGTCTAGTAAACCCCAGACGTTGTTTTGTCTATTGAATAAACATCCAGCGGAAGCATAACCAGCATAGTGCACAGGGAAGATTTTCGTTTCTCAGCCGTTTGTTGAGGGACTATGGTTCACTACTAGTATTTTTCTGTGTATTTATTTCCAGTACCAAATGACATGCCCACCAAATCTGTGATTGGCTGGTTGCTTCGTGACGTTGCATGAGCTATCAATCATTCTCTGTTGAGTACCAGTTGGAAAACCATGTAATGTCGCGTGAGGCCTTTACAAGTTAACAATCCTTAGGCCTACAGTCTATGCTGAAATGCCTGCGCCATTTTTATGCAAACTTGCTGATTTGTCTACTGTGTTTCTTAAAATACAATATGTTCAGTGTTGTGTACTCATGCTATGAAAGACCAAGGAAGATGCGAAAAGAACTTTATTATTTAGCCGTCATTATATGGACCAAAAACATGACGTCATCGCTCATGTCTAATATTAACCGTAGAGGGTGCAGTAACACTAATGATTTCAATACAATACATTTAGTAAAAGTTGTCCTAAATCCGTGTTCAGTAAAAGTGTGTTATATGGTGTGTTAACTTACCTGTATAAAAATATCAACCATCGCTACACCATCTGATTCAGGGTTTAATTCTATACTGTATTCAAGATCAAAATACAGATGACATGCAGCGCCTAAAAATAGATACAATGTATAGTGACTTGTATGAAAGATCTAATGAAGAATGTCTATGTAAAGGAAAATGTGACCATAATGCTTATCATCCACAGTGCTGCGTGGACATGCTAACCAATAAACTACACCCACAAGGTGATCACAATTGAAGATTATTATCTAGTAGTTAAATACAATGTACATTAAAAGTTATTACTATATTTGCTCTATTGAAAGAGTATCGCCAATAGAAGTAAATACATGTATGAAACAAACTTTGCACCTATTTTATACTGAATTATTTGAATCACAATCCCTGATGATACAAATTATTGGACCATAGACTTAATGAAAGCAAACATGCTACTAATCAAGCCAATATTGTACACACACACACTCACTCACTCACCTTCTGGTATGATCTCATAGAAGTGAGGTGGTTCGATATCTTTCCAATCAAATACTGTGTGTCTGAGTTGTTGATAGGAAGTCACAATGTATCTCCTTTGACCAGATTCATCTACGTCAACAGCAAACACATGCATATCCTGAAAAGAACACACTATACTGTAACCTGCCAAATGTAATGTACAATAATTATTGTTTATGTCAACACATGACATGTGTATATGTGTATACACACACACATGTATATCTTTAGAAATGCCCAGTTAGCTGGCGTAAAAGTGATAATTAAATGTGATAAATTTACTGATTGATATTCACTTTATGGGACAGCCATCTTGAATAGGGCTTAAAGTGACAAGTTGAGAAACATACAAAGGACTGCATACGAGCACCTAATTGCAAGAAGAACATAGTAATATCACTTTCCTGGGTTTTTGAAACCAAAATCGTCATTCAACTCAGGAGCAAATCACAGTCTTAAAGTTAGATGATGATTTCAGTTTTAAATACCCTGGGAAAGTTTTCTGTGTTCTTCGTGTAATTAGGTGTCATAGGTGTCATATGAAGAACAAAAACAACAAAATTTAAATTGGTTTACATCAGTAAAAAACATGGTCTCCGAAAATATTACAAACTTGTCCTCGTCTGTCATACCTCAAAAATTACCACACAGTAAAATAAAAAACATACGAAACAACATCCAACAAAGGTATGTAGAGTTCTGGAAGTTGAGTGTAACAGATGATAATAGAAAACTGAGAACGTATATAAAGTTTAAAGACTCGTACACTTTTGAACCATATTTGCTTTTATGTAATCTGAAACATAAAATCTTATTGACTCGTTTCAGAATAAGCAGTCATGTATTAGAAATTGAGAAGGGTAGACATACCCAACCCAAAATACCTTTAGAAGACAGAATCTGTAAGCAATGTTCCCAGATCAAAATTGAAAATGAAGAACATTTCTTCATGGAATGTCTTAGGTACCAAAAAGAAAGACAAAAGCTATTTAATAATATCAGTATTCCAGAAGAATTGAAAAGTGATAACCAGATATTTAAATATATTATGAGTTCAAGAGAAGACGTACTAATAAGACAAGTTGGTGAATACTTATACAAAATATTTGAAATCGGAAATATCAATAACTGACATTTTACTTTTACTTTAATTTTATATGTATTGTACTTTATTACTAACATTTTATTGCTGTTCAACCAATGGAAATTATTTCTAAGGATGCAATAAATTCATTATTATTATTATGCAGCCCTGTGGTTTGTAGCATTTTCCACACAAAACTGTTGAAACCAACAAATTTTGTTAGCGGTTGACTTAATGTTGCTCAAAGGGAACATTTCGCTATGAAATTTTTTGTAGGAATCTGAAAAATGCATTTTTCAAGTTGTCTTTCTATTTAGTTTCAAGCTGTATTCAAAACTGCTGCCCCAATATAGTAAATACTGTAAAATGACTAATTTTCACTGGGTTTAAATTTCACTGATTTACCATTTCAGGCATATTCAGTGGGTTTTAAATTCACGGTTTTATCATTTAGATAATGGGTTTTATGCTAAGTTTTACATATTCACTGGGTTTTAATTTAGCGCATTTTCCAGTCAGCAAAATAAGCCAAATCCAGTGAATAATTAACCATTTTACAGTACTAGTAATTATGAATTGATCTCTGTTATGGTATTATCACATGTATGCCAGCGGACTGTGGAAATTCCATACCTCCTTGCCAGTAGCAGTGAAATTGAAGGCTTGTTTTTGTCTATGAAATTCCCTCCAAAGTGGACTTGGATCAGTGAGTCTGGAAGCAAATTGAAAATTTTTATTTCATTTTATTATTAACAAAAATAAGACCAGAAAACCCCACAAAAAAACATCTTGCTCAGTAGAGAAGAATTGTTTTATTTTTCCCTCTCACAATTATTATTTGCAGCTGACATCATAAAATCATAAATTACCGGTAGTTACATTGTATAAAGTGAGTGATTATTATGTTTTAAATTCAGGTGATTGATAACACAATCAAATGTGAATAAAACAGACTCAGCGGTGACTTTCTAACAATAATATCATAGCCTTGGCATTGTGTATATTTTTTTCCCTATATCTGGTGCTATTTCAGCACTGAATTCAATAGCATTTCACCATTTACATCTGATCATGTTTCAAAAGCACAGCTTTATTTTATTCCAATATCCTTGTATTCCTAAATTTGTACAAGTAGCTTGGAGGTAAATAACAATAAACTAACATACACACATGTACAAATTTGATACTATGATAAATTATACTACAATACATCAATATTTATTTTAATGCAACATGTATTAGGTAATAATTAAACAATGCTACAATGGGATGGCAATGCCCATCGCAATATGTATATTTTACCACTAGAATGAGCGCTATTTCACCATTTAATCTAGCCCCATTTCACAATTTAATCTAGTACTATTTCACCACTAGATCTAGCCACATTTCATGTTAGTGCTACGGTACTCACACTGACTAATCGCTCTGCATCAATTTCAGCACAACAATGTATACATACCTCCAGAATTGGAAAAAACAGTGAACAAATATAATTTGTGAAACCAAAATATGCAAAGAATTTCGCAATCAAACTTGCAATAGTGACCACCTTTTAAAGAGCATACATGTAGGTATGCCCACAGTGACCACTTTTGGGCAGTCCCAATGCAATTTACATGTAAAGTAACCTGTAAATATATATACCATTTGTCCAATGTGACAAGTGTCCACCTTGTTAGCCCTGGCTTGGCACTTCAAGTATCTTTAATGGATGCTTAACACAGGTTAAACTGTGGCTAATTTCTTATTCAAATAAAAAATTATGTTTACAATTCTATGCATTTTTTGAAAAAAAATATTGAATTCAGAGCATTACCTCGGTCTATATTCAGGTGCAAGAAAATGATGTTTGTAAATTTCTTCTTTCACTTTAAAAATTTCCAGTTTTCCTCTCCATCTTCTTTCTCTTCTATGATAAATAAAAGTTGTCAGAGTGAGGTCATCATAAGGGAATACTGCTGTACATGTATATGCATAAAGGTAGCACAGTGATCATATCTGATGCGTAACAGAGATCATTGCAACCCAGTACTGCCTGAGTGCATACTTTTACAGTACATCTTTTCCTGCATGTAGTAATAATTTAGTGCAATATAACAGCCCAAAATGCCAGCAAAAAGGGTTAAGGGCGGTGGTCCTCGTGCCGCGTCCTGTTTGATAGCAACTTATACAATGCGCGTATAATACATTGTTTGTTTACATGAAAATAGAACACACACAACAACTACCACCTTTTAGTGCCTGCATGATCGGCTGCATTCAGTGTTGTGATTTTATTTCAGTCCTACAGTCTGGCAAAACAAGCATTTCATGAAGGACAAAAATGCTTACAATTATTTTGGATTTTATCTGCGCAAAATATAATGAAAGAAAATCTACAAAAAAATATGTTATCTTCACCAAATTCTAAAGCAATATTAACACAAAACAAGAGCACTCAAATTACATTGTTGAAATGTGGCAAAACCTTAGAACACAAAAGTTTTTTATTTGCAAATTCTGAAATAGAAAAGGTATTCGGTTGTGTAGCAGCTAGCCATCAAAGTTACTTACTGAGGATGACAAATTTTCAATAAATAATTTCCTTTAAATTTTGAAAACTGTTTATTTAAGTTTATTAAATGTATGTGTTGTAAATAAAATTGGGTGAAGTAATCATTAACATCAGAACAATAACAGGGGAGAGTTGTCACCAACATCTACAAAAAGAATCACGCCTTTGGTAGTTTTCTATGGACAGTCCTTAGCATTTTCCACTAACATTGCGATTTCTGTAATGCAGAAAATGACCTTTGTGCGAATTTACACGAAACACATGTGATCAGTGCTATTTTCGGTCTTTGCGAAGCTCAAGCTGAGGTGGAACACGAGTAACCCCCCCCCCCATTTCGATTTTGAGACATGCTCAGAACAGTTACTGCAAAATATCGTCTAAATAGTGTGCATGTTGAACCTAATTGAAAATTATAACAGAAAACTACACTGGTACTGTGGTAGTATGTGCTAAATGAAACTGGTCTGAGATGGAAACACGAGATTCGTTTCGACGCCATTCCTCGACCAGAACACTATCAACAGGATTATGAGAACACTTTCTGGGAATCGCGTGCCCATGCTGTACATCGTTGCCCTCCTAGATGCACAGGAACCTCTTATTGGGGACAATTTACTCACATACTTACCGATACCAGGCGATTCAGTCGCAAAGTGTACATTCAAGAAAACAAACACCACACTCCAGCAATGGCAAATGTAGTAAATGATTGGCTATTAGTAATCACGTTGTAAATGTCAAAGGGCAGGCCAAAGGTCAAAAAAGTGAAAAGTAAAATGAAATTCGAAATTGAAAGTGACATTGAACAATAAATGCAATTTCAAAACCAGTTTAATAGTGGTAATTTACTTCTATAAACACTATTCAAGAAAACAGTTAACTTTACTTAGAAAATAAAGATGTGAAATAAGGAGAAAATGAGCACCAAAAAAAAAATACATGTATTCCTGGGGTTCAAAGGTCATACAATCGGAAGCATGTTTTTACAGTTAATATGTTAAATTTAAAACGAAAACGAATATTGAAATGAAATTTGAATGAAAAATAAAAGTTCTAATAAAAACCCAGATTAAATGGAAAACGAAATTTAAATCAAAAACAAAATTTAAAATGAAAACGAAAGTCAAATCGAAAACGAAATTTAAAATGAAAACGAAAGTCAAATCGAAAACGAAATTTAAAATGAAAACGAAAGCCAAATCGAAAACGAAATTTAAAATGAAAACGAAAGTCCATTTGAAAACGAAATTCAAAATGAAAACAAAAGTCAAATCGTAAACGAAAGTTAAATCGAAAATTAAATTGAAAAAAAAATGAGGTGAAATTGAAATTTTAAAATTGAAATTTAAAAAAAATACAAAAATAAAGCCTAATTATTGAAATCAATGTGGTGAGCCACCTTGGTTGCCGTACTACAGTGACTGTGTAGTGTATTTGTTTTGTCGATTGTTGTCAGTTGTCTGTTTTGTGTTCTTGGAATTTTGTACAAAAATCAACAACGGCTAAATAATTATGTTATTTCCATTATGCAGTATATTGTAGACAGTACTTGTATACTTTGTTATCCAGCATAAATATCAGATTGTTCGGAAGCATGAGATTGTAATGTAAATTTCGTTCATTAATGTTGTAAGATGACACTTTCTCAGGGGCCTTCAGAGTCCCACTGGCATGTTGGCATGTTCCGGCCCGTTTACTTACTTGTTGTCAGTGTCTGAATGTATATTCAAAATAAGACCAAGTGAACGTCAGAATATTAAAAAAATCAGAAACCTAAAAATCAGTTGCCCATGCCGTCGACATCCTCAGCAGCGATATGATTTTACACATCAAAATTGAGAATTGCAGGTGTAGACATATTGCATAGAAATGAACACTAAATACATCTATCCCGGCCAGCAATCGAATCATCAATCTTCATGAGTGACGTAACTGGCATTTTCATCTATTTGCTTCTATTCTATTCTAAAACACTCAAGTGAATGTTGTCAAATTCGCGAGTGTGCATATTTTCGTACAGTGGCGTAAACATTGCTACAATCAAAGACACGCTGAACAGAAAGTCAATTCTGGGCTAGTACCATTGTCAAATTCTGGGGAGTAGAGGACTGATTATATGGGAGACGTCGCAATAAGGAACTATTAAAATTGTTCAAAATCCTTTATTGGAACAGAGCATGTTCTATATTCACCAAAAACCAAAGTTGTTATGTTTCTAGACAAACAACAGACTCGAAACAATAGAAACAGTCTGATCCGAGCGACCTGCATTCTTGAAAAGTCTTATCGCCCTTGTGTTTCCGAGCAAAAAAACATTGAGGCCAAAAACGACCGATTTTTGCCAAATCTTTTATGAATTTTTCATAATTTAGCTAATTCAGTCCAGCGGTTAGATAGGGTAATTATTATAGACAGCTAGAGAACCAAAATTTGGGACTTGAATCGCTCCGGCGACGAAAAATCTGCGAAAATAGTCAAGGGGGTGAGGGACTGCATTTAAAAACATATTTTATATATAGGGTATATAACTATATAAATATCTGGAGACAGAAAGAGTTCATAAACATGCACAGTTTTGAACCTTACCTTGCTGCATTAAATACCAAACAAAGAATTATGTCTAAATTTAGAACAAGTAACCACAATTTAGCAATAGAGAAAGAAAGGCATACCAATTCAAAAACACCCTTTGAAAATAGAATTCAAAAACAATTGAAGATGAATTACACTTTTTACTACTTTTCCCTAAATATTATTTAGACCGCCAAAAAATCCTGACAGATATTGAATTCCCTGCTAAAATCACCAATTCATTCCAGAAACTTGTATACACATCTACTCAAAAATAAAAGACATGATCAAAAATAGCCGTGGTTTCACGGACCCGGCTGTATACCAATGATGTGTATATAATTGACAGACGAAGCAAATACCTTCTCGGACCCAAAACACTGCAAAACCATGGCTAGATCAAAAACATTGGAAATTTTTTATACAGATGCTTCAAAAAAGTTTGTTCATTTGCAGTTGGTTTTTAGTTCCTATATATTTATTGCTAACAACTGATAGAAATGTTTTTTTTTTCTAAAGATGCAATAAATAAAATGTTACTTTTACTATCTTGTGCTATATCTTTGCTGTTGAAAGTAAAAATTTTTTAATTGTTTTTAAACACAAATGAAAATATTATTAAAAAGCAAGATCATGTGGCTCCTGTGGATTAAACATCGTTTATAAAAAACAAGCCATGCATGGCACAGTTCCCGTTAGTTATCAAATTTAAGACATATAGTTTTGTTTATAGTAATATAGCTGGAATATAACCATGTCAGGAATATGATTTTTTAACATTAAAATGATTGACATTTGTATCTGATCGTCAAAAAAGTACTTGTCCATATTGAGAGATATTGCTCTGGAACAGCATTCAAAATCAGCCATTTTGAATACATGTATATATATACAACATGATGTATAACGAATATATAAAATTTGAATATAATCAGTCAAAGCATTTAAGAGATATGGCTCTCGAAGCCCAATCATTTAAACAAAATGGCCGCCAGTCAACCATTTTGAATCCAATCTGAAAAATAAAATGACGTGCGTCAGGAACCTGTAATGTCTAATGTATGTACCAAGTTTGAACGAAATCCATCCATAAATGCCAGAAATGCTTGATATTTGATGATTTTTTAGCACAAAAATGACCACCATTCGGTCATTTTGAATAGGATCGTCAAACCAATATATCTGTTTATCTATAACATGATGTATAATGAATATTTAAAATTTGAATATAATCAGACAAAACAAGTCGGAGATACATGTATGGGTCTAGAAGCCCATTCATTAAAACAAAATGGCCGCCAGACACCCATTTTGAATCCGATTTGAAAAAAAAGTGATGTGCATCAGGAACCTGTAATGTCTAATATATGTACCAAGTTTGAACGAAATCCATCCATAAATGCTTGATATTTGATGATTTTTTAGCACAAAAATGGCCACCATTTGGCCATTTTGAATAGGATCGTCAAACCAATATATTTGTCTATCTATGACATGATGTATAATGAATATTTAAAATTTGAACATAATCAGTGAAAGCAAGTCAGAGATATGGCACGAGAACCACATTCATTAAAACAAAATGGCCGCCAGTCGGCCATTTTTAATCTTATCTTAAAAACAAAATTATCCGCATCAAGGTCCCATAATGTCTAATGTACTGTGGAATACTTTATTTTCGCTGGAATTAATTTTCGCTGAAAAGGCTTTTTGGGCGTTTTCCTTGGAATTTATTTTCACTGATTTTTGATGAGTTGAATGTGAAATATAGGAAAAAAAGTATATTCGCTGGATTTTATTTTCACGGAATCATCCTTTCAGCGAAAATAGCGAAAATAAATTCCAAGCGAAAATAAAGTATTCTACAGTATATACCAAGTTTGAACAAAAACCATCTGTAAACAGCCGAGAAATGCTTGATTTTTAGATTTTTTAGCACAAAAATGGCCGCCATTCGGCCATCTTTAATCAGATCGTAAAACAAAATGATTTGCATCAAGGTCCTATAATGTCTAATGTATATACCAAGTTTGAGCAAAATCCATCTGTAAACAGCCGAGAAATGCTTGATTTTGATGATTTTTAGCACAAAAATGGCCGCCATTCGGCCATCTTGAATCAGATCAAGAAACAAAGTGACATGCATATGTATAATATCATGTATGATGTATGTGTGAATGTTGATTGTGATTGGTCCAGGCATTTCTAAGATACAGGTCCGGACGCACACACAGACGCACGCACGGACACACGGAGGTCAAAACATAAGTCCCGTATTTCTATCAGTACAGTAGCAATAAAAGTATAACAAAGTATAATAATAATAATGAAATAATAAAGAAAGAGAAAATATTATAATGTTAAGTATAAAAGTAAAATGTAATGTGTTAAAATTGTTTACTAATACTAATAAGTTTAATAATAATAAAACTAAGACTAATAATAATAAAATTCAAAGCTATCAACTATCTATTCTTTCTTGAAAGGCTTTGTAAATAAACTGTGAAACCTTTTTTATAATTTCACAATCATCTGCACTGAGCAATCGAATAAATGTATTGTGTGCATCATGTGATAGAAAATTAAATTCAGACATAAGTTATTGGCGCAAGTTTCCATATTTTGGACAGATCATGAGAAAGTGAAATTCATCCTCAATCACATTCATGTTGCACTGTTTGCATTTTCTTTCACTTACTGGTGTTTTAGGGTGTGTGTACCTGCCATTTTCAATTTCAAGTTTGTGTGTGCTTGTTCTCAATTTTAGTAATGCATTTCTATGGTTAATGTTTTGTAGTGTCAAATACGGCTCAAAAGAGTACATGTATTTAAATTTGATTTTTGCAAATGTTCTAAGTTTACTATTATTTTTTGAGATTTGTGACTTCCACTGGTTTACATATTTTTGTTTTATATTTTCTTCAATGTTATTTATAATCTTATGAATGTTTCTTTTTGGAATACCTGTTGTAAAATTTACTAATGATGTGTAATAATTATCTTTTAATATTTTATTTACTGATGATAACCATGTATGTTCAGTTGCTGTGATTTTCGTTGTTCATAGTATGCTTGTTTTGTAAGGTTATCCTCTGGCATATCTTTTAGTCTTAACCAGTATTTTATTAGCATTTTTTTAATATCTATTAATAGTGGTAGTTTGCATATTTCGCTTCTACATGTAGCGTTTCTTGTATATCTGTTCAAACAAAGTGTTCTCTTACAAAATTTTAAGTGCGTTTTTTCAATTGGACATTTCTCCCATTTTCCAAAATGTCTGATCCCCAGACATCTGCACCATAGAGTAAAATGGGTTTAATGTTTGAATGAAATAATTTCAAGAAGAGTTTGATGTCAGTGTTCCCTTCCAATGTTTTGTTCAGTATAAACATAGCTTTGCCTGCTTTCTCTTCTAATGTTTTCTTCGCTTCTATAAAATTTCCAGATGATGAGATTATTATCCCAAGATAAGTATAACTTGTCGAACAGCTAATAATCGTATTTTGTAATAGAAGTATTCAGATGTTTTTTAATGATTTATTCTAAAAATTAAGATTTTGTTTGACGGCGCTGATAACAGGTCTTCGGACACAATATACTAAACTACCGTAGATTTGTTCAGAACAATACTTACAATTTCCTTTCCTGCGCTAAGGTCAGTCGTGGCGGCGATAGTGCCTCCATCGTACCCGAGTTACACAGTATAACGAAGACAAACACGAATACACAGAATTCATAAATTTAATATTTCCCTCCAGCTGCCTTGTAATGCCAGGGGTCAACAATTGGTACATTCGCGGTCAAAATATAGTACACCTAACACCTAATTCGACATGTATGCACTGAACGAAAGAATTAAGAAATAAAAACATTGTATATGTATAAGACATATAGATATTATTTGTAACTCAATAGAAGCAGTTTTGGTTGTGGCTGTTCAGTGACAGTTTACTACTAGTATTGTATCTAGTATCAATCCGCTAAAACTACGATCTTCACCCGGAAGTAAAATGTGTTGAACCTTTTCGGAAAGTGGATGAAGTAAAATGCGTGCAAGGCGAATGTTGTCAAACTTTTTGTTTACGACTGGCTCTGGTAAGTTTGTAATTAACAATTGTATGATTTAGAACTGATCACGAGTACATTGAAGAAACTGGCTAAAGACAATCTCCGTATGGATTTTCTGTCGCTATAATCACGAATACAACCGAACTCGGCCAGATTTCAACTCGGCCAGGAAAAAAATGCACAACTCGGCCAGTCGCCAACTCCCGTGACTATTTTGTTGTCGATTTCAACAACGCAAGTTTACAAACACACACACACAAACGCTACTGGTTCTCCGACATGTTGTTGATTTCAACATTGGCTGAACATTGTCGATTTCAGTGACGCAAATTTTCTTTTCAAAGGAAAAACACAGACATTACATCGAATCACAGACATCACATCGGCGACCGTCTATTTTTTTTACATTTTACTGTGATATGACAAAAGACACAGCGCTGGCTGTTTCGTCACTGAAATCGACACCCTTTTTTTTTATTAACAAAGCACGATAGGCATCACTGAAATCGACACCCTTTGACGCCCGTACATTTTTTATATTTTGTTGTGATATGACTCTGACAGTCTGTAATACAGCGCTCGCTGTTGCATCATTGACACCCTTATGCACATATGCTGGCCGAGTACGGTCACTGGCCGTGATCGGTCACTGGCCGAGTAGAAATCTGGCCGAGTTCGGTGGTCACCATAATCACGATGCCCCATGCATGTTGTCCATGTTGTTTGTTGTTGACGCGTCGATGCAAATGATTTTATTATTGTGTATTTGAACTGCAAATATACTTGACCCTACAATATCATGAAAAGTGATTACGTCTAATAAAAGCAAAAAAATGTAATTATGAGTACCGGTATTACCATTAGGATGTACGAGCTTGCTTCCATGGAAACAGTGACTTTCTATTGTTTCCATCAGTCTAAGCAGGGCGGTAGGCAAAAGTGTAAGATAAGCCAGGATTAAAGAAAAATTTTAAATGTTGACGATTTATTTAAATAATGACAATAAAATGCATTTACTTTGAATAAGTATGTCTGAATGTACTTTATATATGTACACAATTCTGGCTGTACCATTGGCTCATATTACTTAATTCTACATATATAAAATGCATTGTATCATTCGAGCCGTAAGTTATGAATTAGCGACATACATGTAAGAAGTATTGAACAGCTCCACCATCGGCCATTTTTTCGTTTTGGCAAATATCCAAAAGGAACGATTTCGTTTTTAGCTTCACGCTTGAGTGCACATTTCTCGTTTCCTTGGTTTTGGCCATAAAATATTTAGCAAAACTATAATATAGACGGGGTATGACACAGTGTGTTCCATTTTCGGACACGCTGTGTACCAGAATTCTCGTTCAAGAACATTATTTATGGTGTTCGTACATGTAGTTGACAGTCAAGTGCCAAATAACCACATCATCATTATTTTAGTGTAAAATAGTACGTAATTGCGATGGTTTTGAAATTTGTTATGAATACAGAAATACATATTGAAAATTTTTGCTTGATCGAGCTTATTTTTTGAGTTATCACACCCTGACGCTGACTGTTCAAAATCAGAGTCATCCGAAAAGTTGGTTGTCAACAGCACATCAGTAGCTGCAGTATTGCGAGGGTATATCATTGTTTTATTGCCGGTAAGATTATTTCGCCCGTCTCGAACTAATTTTAAATATGCACAGAACGGCAGCTATGCATCTAGTGACAGCGATGCATCATGAGTGACTGCACAACAGCGATTATTAAAGTTTCTGCATTTCACAGCAAACATTTGATATTAAGCCCAGATACATGTGAGTGAGTTATGTTTTTTAATGATTGAATATGGTGTGTACTATGTTTTATAAAAGGCATACATGCATAATATTGCAAAACAGTGGTACATGTATGAGCATTGGATGAAAAATTGCAGGTCACGTGTTCTATATGGCTAACACCTATTGGTCAGCTTGAGTCTTGTCATACCCAGTCTATTATTATGAAAAGCGGGGGTGAAAGCGTCCTACATTCAAACGTTTTTAAAAAGCACGCTTCCATGTCTTGTATGTGCTAGACGTACGACAAGACGCAAAAACAATACATGTACGAGTTCGAGTCAAAACATTTTCACCACTGACGGTAATGCTCGTAGTACTGTTTTATCATTTCTAGAATGTTACTAATAAATTATTTTATCCAAGAAGAAAAATATTCATGTATTATCTCTAGTATTGTATTAACCCAGGCACTTTTACCTATTGCTCTTGGTCTAAGCTGATCATTTATTTATTTATTATTTACAAACCAGACACTTTGCGATGGGCGCTTTTTTAACAAATCCAAAAATCACTCTGGATAATTTTGTTCACTTTGTGTATGTACTATATTTGCATTTGAAGTTTTGAAAATTGTTACTATAATTTATTGAAATCAGAAAATCGGGAACAACGGTTTTGAGAAGTCGTCGAGCTAGTAACATCACTTTTCCGCAACTTTGCCAGTGTTGATCTCTTTGTAGTAATGCACATTATCATTATCGATATTGGCAACAAAAGTCGTTTTTTGATTCATGAAATTTTAACACTTTTTCGGCATAGTGCCAAGATCTTGTTTACTTTAGAACATTCTGTAACAGCAGACTTGGGTGATTTTATTTGCTATTGTGGATTTTCAGCTTAAGTGTGCAATTCAAATTTGTTCACAAACTGAGTATTACTGATTAATTAAAATTTATTATTTAGTTTCTCATGGTCAGTTTCACAATATTTATGCTAATGCAGTTGCATATATCACATATAAGTCATTCACGGCTAAATGATATTTTTCTTGTGCTACATACTTGAAAAAAATGTCAGCATCACTTCTCAAAATACCACACATTAGCCGTGAATAAACTCTTAATACAACTCGAAATATACCAGTCATTGTAAATATCTGTTTGACCAAGTTTTTTTAGCTTCTGTGCAAAAGCATTACTGTAATCATATAATTTGGTTTGTGACTGACCTAACTTACTTTCATTGTTGGTTTTCAGAGTTTTAAAAATGTCTCAGCAAGAAAAGCCCTCAACATCCAGCACATCTCTGCCAAGAGGTCTGGTATCAAAAAGAGGTCGTGGTGTAAGGCTGCCCTCTATCAGATCACCTAGAGACCTGACTCTTGGTGGTGTTCCTAAGGTTAGTATTTATTGGTTCCCAGTGTTCCTTGGGAATTGGGCATGTAGGATGCAAGTAACTTACTAGTACCGTTATCGCCATATTGTTCCACTGGCCGGGATTCTATCCCTAGTTTACACAACTGAGTGATATAATTTGAAATTCTAATTTTCGTTTAAATCTTTTTTACTACAACATAATGCCATGCCTATTCAGTATGTCTGCTTAGACTTCATATTAGAGATGGTTCTGGTGTTTCTTGCTATTTGTATGCGAAATGATAAAAAAAAGAAACAGTTTTATATTTGCAAAATGTTTGGGAATAATTGGAAACCCCTGCCATATATATAGAATGCCCACAAATGTAAGTGCTTATGTCAGGTAGCCAAAGGAAATAGAACAAGGAATAAAAAAGTGATTAATCAATCTTATGGCCTGGTGCACCTTGATGTAGGAATCTGCTACAAGGTTACCGGTAGTGTCGCATAATCTTTGACATACTATAAATGCTGCCCTCTATCTGATCACATAGACACTTGATTTTTATTGTGAAATACGTGGTTCTGATTGATTAAAATTACATACAAAATTACACAGGAAGCTTGTTGTGTGTTAATCTGTTACAACTACCTATACATATAGCAGTGTTTTAATATTAAATGCTTGATACCCAAATTGTTGATAATGATTTTTATGATAACCACTAGGTTCATCACAAATTCACAAAATAGTTTATATTCTGCATTTTCCTTCATTAGATTGGAGCAAAAATAGCCAAATTTGTTGAGTAAAAACTGAAAATTGACTAAAATTTTGTCTGTTGGCTCTAAAATTAGGGTTCCTTTCCAGATATATAGAAGAATATAAGAAAAAAAGTTAAGACAAATTAAGACAAAGAAAGTCTGGTGGTGAAAAGGTTGAAACAAGGGAGTTGTCGCCTGTGCATGTGGCATGTGACATATTGTGTCATTCTCCTCAAACCCATAAGCTTTTGCATTTCAGTGTGTGTTGTTATCCTCACGTAGAACTTGATGTGTGCAGGTGACCACCCCTCCGAATAATACCATTGTATAATAATTTTGTTAGAACTCTCTATTTTTTGTATGTACCAAGACAATTCCTATGTAGTCTGGGATTCTGCTAACCTTTATTAGCAACAGTGAATTACTTCTAGATATAGATTTTAAAAATTATGTAACTCTCACTGACTAAATCTAAATTAATCAATTAAAAAAATATCATGTGATCGATGACTCACAGAATGGTAAATTAAGAAGACACATGTTTAATTACTTAATTGTATGCTCATAATACTGTAACATATTTAAATTTTCTACATGATTCTGACAAAAATTATGATCTTCATTCATCATCTTCTCTTCGTTAATTGGCAGAATAGGTTGGTAATTATGTAAGAATATTAACAATGTAGTAGTAGCCAATATGGTTTTTATTATTGATAGAAGTAGATTGAAGTAGATACAAGTACAAAGTTTGTGAGCATGTGGACTAAGGCTAATATATTTCGCATTAGGCCAAAAATAATCTAGTCCTAAGATTGTTTTTGAGAGAACCTTTGTGGCGGTGAGCAAATTTTGTTTTTTCCCTAAAAATTTTAATGTTTATGCTCATCATGAATGTTCTTTTAAACAAAATACAAAATACATGAACTCCTGCAGTGCTGTCAATTTGGTTGGTGCAAATATAGAAAACAAAATATGATCTGGCATTAGTTTGTATTTTTATGGCTATAGCTTAACTTATATTTCTTGTTTTTTTTCAGAAAACATTTACACCAAACTTAACAGCTAGAAAAGAAAGATTCAAAGAGGAGTAAGTATTGCGTTATACTGGTCCAGACAAGACAATTTTATTGTTTTCTATTGTTCTCTGCTGTACCCTCTAGTGACAAAAGTAACATTTCATTTTGTTTTTGTGCTAATGATAGTGTGATAAAAGGGAGATTTTCAATCTTGTTCCATAACCTCACAGTATGTCATGAATAAATAATAGCAATAAATACACCACAGAAGAAACCAGACCAGTCATCATAATTTCCCATGATAATTTATTTTAAAGAAATTATCATATAGGATATAGGAAATACACAAAATCAAGCTTTTCTACAAGTTTAGAACCTGATCTTAGATATTCATTCATGAATTTGATTGAAACTTCAAAAATAGAATGTCATGGAACCATGCTGTACGTTGTTAAATTTTACAGATGTTTAAAGTGAGAAAGTCATCACCTGTCATGCGTCAAATGGCCATAGCGTGTTATTTTTCACAAAAAAGCATCTACCCATGACACTTTTCATTTTAGCGTGTGCAGGTGATGACCGCCCCGCTTCAAAAGTGAGTTGTCTCTAATAACAAATACTTTGCATTGCACAAGTAACTACACATGAATGCGGTGGACATAGTAAATTCTCATATTCTATCTACTCTAAGTTGTATTGCTCTATTTGTTTTCTCAGACCTAAAGACAGCACAGCTTATGATGGTTCAACAAATAAGCGAGGGAGAACTCCAAGAGAGAGAGGGAGGGGGAGAGGACGTGGACGAGGTCGAGGGAGGGGTGATATTATTCAGTCACATTCTATATTTGAGCAAGGTCCAGCTGAGAGACTAGGTGGTGGTAGAAGAGGTATGTAATACTGTAAAATACTTTATTTTTGCTTGGAATTAATTTTCTCTATTTTCGCATGAAGAAATGATTCAGTGAAAATAAAATCCAGTGAATATACCTTTTTTCCTGTATTTAACATTCAACTTGTCAAAAATCTGGAAGAATGTCAAAACACAAAAACACCTAAAAATTCTTTTCAGCGAAAATTAATTCCAGCTAAAAGAAAGTATTTTACAGTACCTCAAAATACTGTGAACCATTTAATTTCTACCGTTAAATATTTTTGCGATTTTGGGATTGTATGACATATATGAAGAAAAAAATTTGTGAAAGTTGAGACATTCTCATTGCTACAAAATTACCTGATTTTCACTGACTCAGTAAAGTTTGTACATGTAATCACCCTCTTTATCTTATCACAATCTATTTGCTATTGGCTGCTTGTTAGGTAATAATAATAGTCTTTATTGAAATTGTATCCTAAAAATGGACATAGATCAAAGTACAATAAAGCATGGTTGTCATTCCATGTCAAAAGCAATCAGAGTAGAAATAAAAACATACACTATAAGAAAAAACAAAACAAAAACGAAAAAAAACATCAACAAACTTGCCAGAAAATGGGTTGGAAATGCATATTTATAAAGTACATGTATATTTAAAGTGCCTGTGCAATGCCCACCCACACATTTCCCGTTTTAGATCTGTGTCCCACTGAAATGGGCAGTTATTGATTTCTCGTATCCAAGTAAATTTGAGATATTTCTCGTGTTGTAGCCACGTCCACCTATCCTGAAACAGTCAACTGTTTCCGGATTTCCGCCTATCGCCGAAAGTGCGCCACCAAATGCCAAAATATGAGAGGAAGTCATACCCCTGAGTCCTAATAACACTGGTCATTCAATATACTTTTAAATGACGTACATTTTTCGGTTGGCGTTTGTTTTTGTTTTATTTTGTCTATTTTATTTTTTTTGAGAGAGTTTTTAGATGTTGTGTTGTGGGCAGTTGCCGTGATAGGTATAGTCATAGTAAAGTATACATACGTTTCTTATCGATCCGAAGGTGCGACATCAGTGGACGAAAGCCGTGAAAGCAACGAGAAATGTTGGGGTGGACCTTCTCCTTACAAAGTCATATGTAGTGTCAACTTAACTTCAGATTCTTTTTTTTGAAAAACTGTTCTCGTCCATGAAAAAAACAACTAGGTTTAAAGAGAAACACCAACAACCTGGCGTAAGAAATAGATTCCGGACCAGCCCATAATCATTGAGGCGGATTTCAGTAGAGAGAGAGAGACGTCGGGCAAGTGTTTCAAATGATTTGCCTTTTTTTGCGACCCTGATTATCATTTTATAGAGACCATTCAGTCCGTGTTAAGTAAAAGGTAGCAATAATTTTGACAGTGACACTAAAAAAAATAGCGTCGGACAAACAGGAAATTACACAGCCCTTACTCACTGTTTTCATTTTCGCATGCTAAAAGTTTCTGAATTGTTCGGTGATTGGTGTTGAATGTCGAATTCACACCTCTGTTACCTTTACTTGCAGCTTGATCTGCGTAATAATTTATGGAATAAGAATCCGGGCTTGGGCTGTCAATGTGTTTCCACCAAATAAAGTTTTAATATGATGTCATAATTATGACAATCACGCCATGGAATCCACTCTGAATTTATCTGTATGTGTGTCGTTCTCGTTTATTTTTGTTATCCAATTAAACGCCGCCTTTAATGCACTTGTCCTCATCGTGACCCGACGCAGTCACCTATTTCAACAAAATGTCAATTTAATTTTGTCCAGCGACAGTGTACAAACGTGCGCCGGTGACGGCGACGATCCCCGGTGACCAGCTACACCAGAACGGACATATTTCGCATCTAACTCAAACCCATGCAACAAACTTGATACTATGTGTTCAATATGGTCCATTCTTCTTCGACGAACAAGTACATAAGGAACAATTTAGTCAAAGATGAGAAAACTGCACAAGAAATTTGCCTTATTTACACGTATCAGCAATGCAAGCTGCCCAGCGACTTCCCCTTCTGACGTCACAAGGGGAATTTCTGTATGCTAATGAGGAGCCTCGTTTTAAAATACACAAAAATAAAGTTGCCGTAGACTTTGTTTAAAACACATTTTTTCACTTAAAAAAATAATTTATGCTTAGAAACATAAAAAATAATAATATTTATGTATCAATGAATAATTTTAGGCATGGAAATACATTTTTTTGTAGTAGCCATCTCACAGGCACTTTAAGGATTATTTATTTAGATACATGTATCTGTGAGGCAGCTGTTTTTTTAAATTTTGTTTAAGGTATGAACTATCCCCATATATACATGTAGTGGTGGTTTCACAATTCTTTTCAAATTGTACAAAAGTTAAACTTGACCAAAGAATGTTTTTTGTATATGTACATTCACTCAATATAAATTTGCCACTGGTGTTGTATGTGTGCTGATATATTTGTACATAATAGAGGCAGTAGCTGCAGAACCAAGCCCTAAATGGGTATGGTAGCTGTCAGGAGATCTATATATTTTATATCTATAACTGTTACTGAGGAACAATAGATAAGTTACAGCGCCCTCAGTCATTTTCTGTGTGAGAATGGAGGGTTGATTTCTCGCTTGCACAATTTATTCCCAGGTTCCCTGTATTCTGATCTATTGAATGTTTACATGGTGAAATTAACCCCCCCCCCCACCTCCTACACAAATGAAATTGAAACGTTTTTTCACCAGAGCATGCAAGTTTCAAAGGTAACGATAGAACCCAAAACTTGTGTTTCAATTTCAATATTAATTTCTTACTGTTGAATGGATTTCTCAGTGATAGGAATAATTAAGTTTACTTTCTTTTTTCAAAAGGTGGCTATGGAGGAGGTGGTGATGCATTATCGAGTAGCTCAGCTTATAGTAGACCTAGTGTTTCTGTCAAAAAAGAGTCTTCAACAAATGAACTCAGTCAGGAAATGATGGATCAGCTCCTGAGAGATGATGTAAGTAGCACTGGAAGACAATGGCATATTTATTTTATTTTATTGGACCTGGGCAATGGTACAGTTGTTTAATGTGTTTTTAGGTTTTTAGTTTGTCAAAGGTTTTTTGGGTTTGATTACCCAAGCCAACTGTTTGGCCTGTCTTGAGAAAAAGGTGATGATTTATTCCCAAGAAGACGTAATGTCGGGAATAGTTCAGTATAGTATGCATTGTCCTGTTTTCTTACAAATAGGGGCCTTTCATACACATAATCAAAAGCAAAGAAATTCCATGGTTTCTACTTTTGACAGGTAGAGAATTGTCTGACTACACAAAATTCACAAAAGACTAGCAACACTAGTCTATCAAATATGCATATGTGGATCATACGTAAAATCTCATAGCTAGACCAAATTCCCTCTTGTTATGGCTATTGAGAGGCAGAGATTCAACACCCTGGTATAACCAAGACTCCTAACTACTAGTACCATTACTATAAAACAATTTTGTACTGGTCACTGGTAGCATAGTGGTTGTTGCATCAGACTCATGATTACTAAACCCAAGTTCAAATCCTACCTCAGGCTGAACACCAGAAGGGTCGACCCCTACCCTGGGTGAGTGTGCCACAGACTCAATGGTAAGGCCAATTCCACTGGCTGAGATTCATTCACTAATGAATGCGACTTTGGTGGAACCTTGGTTAAGGTCCACAGGTGCTTGTGTTCGACGGGGCCTGGTTGACGCCAGGATAGCGCATTGAATTGTCATTTGATGGAGAGATGGCCACACAATCCTGTCATGTAGTCCCAAAACATGAATATGGCTTCTGTGGCAAAAATGTCAGCACTTGCAATTTGCAATAACAAAAAAAAAGTCAGGAGAGACAACAGTTACATTTAATGTCCAGAACTGTCGCCAGGCACAAAAACATTTAAAAAAAAAAAAGCATATTCACATATTTTGCAGGGAAACAATGAGTTTTATTGTTAATTTACATGATCACATGGATTTAATTTAGCGGGTTATATTTATAGCAAAAATAGCAAAATCAAAACCAATGAGTATTTAATGCATTTTCAGTATCAGTCTATCTAGTAACTAAAGGAGCCAACAATTGTTGTTTTGTTTTAGTTTCTCGATGACAGCATGTGGAAGGACCAGGATAAGAACTATATACCAATTCAGTTGCCGCTGTCAGACACTGGTGAAATATTCAAAGAGGAGAAAACAGAGGAGAATGATGATGAGAAAATACAAGTGAAAGAAGAGAAGATGGAGACAGATGGTGCTACACTTACAGGTTTGTTTATACTCACTGATGATGTATTCTTGGCACAACAAAGGCATTCCCTTCATCTTTATAAATAAATGGCAGTTGAATCAGACCAGCCAATCAACGAGAATGCAAAATGACATCATTTAAAATGATATAAGTACTGTTGCTAGGGACATGCAATTTGTGCTAACATTTTGTTCGACAAGATGTATCACCAAAATATCAAGTCATCATATATGGTAATTATTTCACTAAATATTTAAAATTGTTGAACCATAGCTACTGGGAACCCCTTTTCAGATCATTGCTTGCAGTTATATTATTAAATGCTGTATTTGCTCAAATAGAAGCATGTGTGCTAACTTCATCTTCCAATACCTTCAGCACACAGGAATTCTTTCTAAGCTTTCTTTGATCAGTTTATTAAGGCACAAAATATTCTTGTCTCAAGCTCCTGACCTCTAACCTACAATAAATTTTATCATTAACTGATATATTTCATATTTTAATAAGCTGATTGCAGTCATTTCAAAAGATCTCCCATAAAAGGATGCATTCAGTGCAATTCAATTATAATACTGTGAAGACATTAATAATACACTGGATTTAAATTTTGCTGATAAATGAAATTTGCAGAAATTATTGTTTCACTGACCAATCTGTGAATATATGAATCAAATATGCTCAGTGAAACTAAATATTAAATATTAGTGAAAATTAATAGTTTCACAGTAGTTTCACTTTCCTTTTGTTTGCAGTGAAGAAAGAACCAATTACAGATGATGTTGAAATGGAAGATTTGCAGAAAGAGCAGGAAATGACATCATCATCGTCTAAAAAAATGGATGCTGAAGCTCCAAGTGTCAAGCCAAAGAAAGTTCCTGTTAAAAGTAAAATTGGTAGCATAAAAGACCCACAGGATGTCACGTCTGCTAATTTGTTCTGTAGTAGCAGGCACTCTGCGTCAGGTCAGCTGTTGTTCTTTCAGTTTCCTGACACCTTGCCTGCAGTTCCTCTATCACGAGATGGTGAAGTGGCAGCAAAACCAGAGACCCAAAGAGGCATGCAAGGAAAGAAAGATAAAAGTACTGTGAGTATAGTTACAATATAGATGTAAGCTAAGTCCCACATGACAATGTCTGATTTTGAAATTGCAAAGCCAGATTACGAAAACTAAAAATTACTACTAAGAACTGCACAAGAATTTGGAAAGTCAAATCTTGAAAAAATGTTTGCAGACAGAATATACCCGGTACTACCGTATTACCCCGGGCACGCGCCCCTCCCTGGGCAAGCGCCCACCCCCTGTTTTCACAAAAGTTACATGTTGGAGACATCCTAGGTTAAACGCCCAGGGTGATTTTTAGCCAAGAACGGGGTCAACAATAAAGTTTTATTTGTCAAAAACGAACGCGTTCGATTTATTTAAATAGTGTGCTTGTTACGGTAGTTCTCTTTTTGGAGTGTGTGGTGGCCCTGAAAAGGGCCGCTTTGTTTGTGTTTTTACGTTTCAAAACGTAGCATTTTGCTGACTGTGAATCCATAACGGGAGCTAGCACTTTTGAGACATCACGTCGTAAACTTGCTACTTTCTTTCCATCCTTCATCACAGCTATGGCATTACGGTCATGTGGATTATTTTTCTGTTGTTGGAGAAAAAACATTTTGCCGACCTCAAGTCCATTACGATAACCATAATGATGCATGCCGACGATGGGAACTTGTTGCATCATCATTATTTTTGTAGTTTTGTCACGTGTGTGGGTGCGTGAATAAATCATGTTAATGAGGTCGACCAGAGTTTATTTTCAGTCTGTTTTTTATGTTTCGCCATTTGGATATGTTTATGTATTCACAATAGTGTGTAAACATTTCACATCAGCAATAAAAGGTTTATTTGTTTCATAACCCTGTCTGCTATTCTTCAGTAATTACGATGCGATGTATCAATAC